TGAATTTGGCTGCAGCAGACCTGCTGCTCATATTGGTGCTGCCCTTCAAGATTTTCTACTATTTCCTGGGGAACAACTGGCCTTTTGGGGAAGGCCTGTGCCGGCTCACCACAGCTTTCTTTTATGGGAACATGTACTGCTCAGTGCTGCTGCTCACGTGCATCAGCGTTGACCGCTATCTGGCCGTGGTGCATCCTTTCTTTTCACGTTCTTTCCGCACCCCTGCCTTTGCTGCCTGCACCTGCGCTGCGATCTGGCTGTGTGCTGCCATCCTCACCCTGCCCCTGACTCTGCAGCAACAGTCATATCCCCTGTATGGAGAAGATGCCACTCTCTGCCACGACGTCCTCCCCAGGCATGAGAATGACGGGTATTACTTCTACTACTTTGTCTGCCTGATCGCCTGTGCTTTCCTCGCTCCTCTGGTTGTGATGCTGTTCAGCTACTGCTCAGTACTGCGAGCCCTCCTGAACAGTGGGAAGCGGTACGCCTACTCCATGAAGCTCACAGCTCTCGTGCTGTTCACACTTGTGGCCTTCTACACACCCAGCAACGTTCTCCTCCTTGTTCATTACTCCAGCTATAACTCCAAGCTGTATGGCAGCCTGTACATCAGCTACATGGTAAGCCTGGCCATCAGTACCTTTAACAGCTGCGCTGATCCCTTTGTCTACTACTACGTTTCTGAAGACTTCCGGGATAAGGTGAGAAAAAGATTCTTCAGTCACAGAAAACAAAACACCACATCCCTAAAAACCTCCAAGGAAACACTGCCTCAAAGAAGTTTCAGGGATTCACTGGTATAAGCCTCCAACCCAGTTCCCTGCTCCCAAGGCTCTCACAACATACAGCAAGGATGAGACAAAGACAATGCTGGGATCCCATGAGTTTCATCCAGAGCAGCGAGCAGCATTTCCCAGAAGACAAATCCTTTCTCCTGCCTGGATAACTACAACTTAATAAACCTGGGCCACGGCCTTCCTTGAGAGGTGTGGAGTCCAGACAAGCTGCAGAGTGCTGGACATGTATAGAGCTGTTACTGGGACGCTGCATGCAACTTCTCACCTGGTCACGTATCGCCAGGGATGCTCTTACCAATACTCCTAGGTCTGGTTTTCCTAATGCATCTTGCAAGCTGACTGCTATCTGCCTTCTATTTCTTTTTCTGCTACTGACTTGCTTGCTGTCCTTAAATGCATATTCTCTTCACCTAAAACTGAAAAGGAACAGACATTTGTATTTTCCAAACATTTCGAAAGTACTAGGAGTACTATGCAAAAGGTACTCTCCTGAACTAAAATATTCTGTCAAGAGGATGTAGAGCACTGGCTTTTCTAGCAAATACATTTTGGGCTTGGTTAGTAAGCAACACCACAGTAATGTCAGCCCAGTGTTGGTAACAAGTGTAAAAATCCCATTCACTCATCCCTATTTTTGCAAGTGACCCTTTGGGGCAGAGGTTGTATTAGAGGATTCAAAAAAAATATTATGTCTCTTAAAGGGAATTATTAAATGAGAAATTGAGTAAACTATTGCTGTATAAGTCCACACTTCTTTTGTGTAATGTCACACACAGTCTAGAGCTGTCTCTTGTGAAAAAGGTGATGAAGCTTGTTGCTTATTGGAACCTGTTGCAGATTTGACAAAATGCAGGCTGCTCATCATCTCTCAGACACAACCAGAGCATATCCCAGTAAGCAGCAAGGTAGAAAAAGAGCAATAAACCACTTAACTTCTGTCCTTACTATAACACGTGATCAAACAAACTTACAGCCTACCACATGAAGAAGAGACAGACAAGATTGTCTTAAAATCAGTTTTTAATAAAATATTTATCAGAATCTAAACCAAACAGTTTTCTGGACTCAGACTTGCTATGATTTGTGTGAACAAACCAGAAATGGTCATAGAACTGTTTGCATGTACATGTATGTGCAGGGGCAAAATCCAGGTGAAAATCTAGAGCCTATGTCCTACGGGTGCAGAGCTGGTGTAGCCAGGGCTATTGTCACTCAGTCAGAAATAACCAGTACTAAAAAAACACCAAAACCCAACCCAAGTTGAGGTTTTCTAAATAGCTGATCTATTCACAATAATGAAAATCAGGTTATTGTGCATTAAATGTCAATAATCCATGTCAGCAAAGCAAGCGCTGTTGTTTCAATTGCATCCTTCAAGCTGAACATTTTTCTGGTATTTGTTTACTATTGAGGCTGATAAGGAAGGAGCGAAAGAGGCAAGACTAAAACACTTGGACAAGAAAGAACAAGGGAACTATTGCTCTAAAATAAATACCATGGTAATGATTACTCTGCATAATGTACAGTTACAAATATATAAATATTAATTTCATTGAAAGGATTGCAAGCAAAAATCACTGATAACTAGCACTGCTGCAGCTATTCAGTAACATAACTTGATGGAAGTAGGAATGTCTGTGTCTTACAAACCCACTGGCACTTTTATCCTTTTGCAATGATCTTCAATGGTCTTCACAAAGTAGGAGCCTGCATTTTCAGTGGTGAGCTGTTCTTGTGTTCGCAGGGACAGGAGGGTGACTGATGAGCTTCAGAGTCAGAACTGGGTCAAAGCCTCGGAAAAACACTGAGGCTGATATGGCTGTGCTGTGTCCATTGGCTCTCACACAGACCTCGTCCTAAAGAGTTTCTGTATTCCAAATAAGATTTTGATGAATGGAGGAAAAATAATCTAGGATTTTTTTTCCTAGATAAGAATTAATGATTATAAGAAACATGAACAACAAGTCTGGGACAGGGGAAATCTGAGAAAAGAGAGACCATCAGCTACAGTGGAGAAGAGGGCAGAGACCTGCTCCTTTACTCCTGCAACAGGGGAGAACAGGCAACCACAACTTGGTAATCACAAGTTCCTTTACTCAATTCCTTAAATAAAATTACTTTCTTTTAACTATAAAAAGGAGTTTGGTGTGGCAAGACTGGGGGGAGGCAGAGGCTGCTAAGAGCAGAGGGAATACCGAGTTCTCTGAGAGTGCCAAAGCTGGGAAGAAGCACTCAGCTCAAGGTGATGTCAGGTTCCAGGATCCAGCAACCCTGACACATAACCACACACACACGGCCCTGTTCTGTTTAAGGATGCTAAGGCTGCTCTGCCTTTGCCTTCTGAGGGTTCAGGTCTCTCTGGCTTTTCTTTTAATTGTAAAACAGAAGCAAGGCTCCTCTGCCTCAAACAGGTGAGTGCACTGGCACACAGAGACCCCACAGGATAAGGCCATGATGGATGGAGTGGCAGCACCAGGAGGAATTATTTAGCTGGCAGCAATGGGGAGATGTCTGCATCTTACATGTACCAGAGCCCAAGGAAAGTGAAGAAAGTCAGGTTTAATACTTGGCTGAAATGCCCTATCTTCATCTCTTTGTCCCCAGTGGTGATGCTGTCTGACTGCCCAAGGATCTATGAGAGGACCAAGCAGTATAAAGTGATTGCAAATATCTATCCAGAAGTGTACAATGGACAAGACAAGGAAATCAAAGCCAGAAAGGGACAGAGGAGGCTGAAGAATCCAGAACTGGTGCCATCTTCTGTGGGAAGCCAGTCAAACAGACATTATCCCAGAGTGACTGAATGTTTCATTCTCCCAGACTCAAAGCAGTCAACAGCCGAGGCTGGAACCAGCAAACAGCAGGGTCTGTATTGTGCAGCTTTGATATTTAGGAAAGAAAAAAAACCCACCACCTCTTGTTGCAGCTCACACTAGGCCTATTATTTACCCAGAGGATAAATATTGACTCAGTCCTGTGCGTGTACACAATAGCCAGGGTCTGCCAGGCCAGTTGCTTACAGGAGCTGGAATTTAGTTTAAAGGCATTTATTTACCTGCCAGACAGGAATGCAGCCACCAGTGCTTCCACTGTGCTGTGCGGACACAGTGAGGACATGGTCTGTTCATGGACGCTGAAGAGACGTGGCAAAAACCTCTGCTGAGAAGCAGTGGGTACATGTGGGCAGCAGCCACGTCAGGATTCTGTGAGAAGAGCTCAGTGCAACCACGAAGGAAGGCCTGGAGATGTGCCAGCAAACCAGTGCTAAAATTTCTGGGAACTTCAAGACCCAGACCTTCATCATGTCAACTACATTCTGCAAATATTTGGCCCCAGACAAAAAGGATTGGAAGCTACATATGCCCAGCTTCTGGGATACCGCCTGTTTTGTCCCCATGTGAACATTTTTCTGAAATAAAATTGCCTTTATTCTGGAATGGAATGTCTATGCTGGGATATATTCTTGTCATGGTTCCTGTGTAAACAAGCCCTAAAAATGAATGGAGCCGGGCTTTTTCCTGTTTCCATTCACCAATAAACACCCTCAAAAGGAGTTTCCACCCTACTCTGGGTCCTGGTAACAATAGAAGTGGGAAGATAAAATATTAACACTGTTTTGCAACAGGCAATTGCATGTAACTCCTCCAAAGAGAACAATGCTGCTCCAGGCAGGAAGGGAAACCAAAAAATCTTGGCTCCTGCAATTTTGGAAACACTAAGCTTTTGTTTTTAGTTTTACCACATTGCTTAGTGCAGGTCAGTTGAAGGGAGTCCAGACTCTGCGACACCAGTGATTCGTACTGGCCAGCAGACCCAGAGCCTATGCATACGTTACCATATCCAGAACAGCCACTGTATGGGGATCCTACTGGGAGCAGAACAAAAGTGACTGGTGAAGGCAGGCAAGCATTTAAAAGGACTGTGCCTTGGGTCAGCTTTATTTTCATGCCAGGGTAACAAGGAGGAAAGGGGCTGAGAAGGCTGCAAGCAGCCGTTATCAGCACATAGTGCAACATGAAGAGGGCTTACCCACCCAATCCTTGCCACTGCTACGGCTGGCAAACTCCTACCTGAAGCCTGCAGTTACATGGTAGTCAAGCCTTTCAGACCTGACACTGGATTTCAGTTTTCTTTTGCAAAATGTACCTCCCAACAACTTTCCTGACCATGCAGACTCTTGGGAAGTTTTTCTCTCGTGGGACATTGTTGTGGGTAGAGTAGACTTATGGGCTGGGGAAGATGATTAGCCTCTTGCTATGTCATAATTCGCAAAACACACTGATTTTTATTATTATAATTTGAGAGAAAATTTCTCAGCCATCTTTCCTCAAACAGCAGTTCAGCTAAGCACAAGGCCTAGACTTAGCTTCTAAATGTAGCTAGGAAATGGCAATTGCAGTATCCTGATAGTAGAGAAAACACTCTGAAATGGTCTAGAGGTTTGAATTCCAGCCCCTGTTTTTTCACCTAGAGGGCACACGTATTGGTCTCCCATCCTTGGAAGTAACCCAAAGAGGATGCACAAAAGGCAGGAAAATTGGCAGGAAAAATGACAGAAAAATAAGGCTGAGTGTCCCTCTTAGCGCTCCAGTTCCCCCCCTGCGGGGCAGCAAAGCCTACAGTTCTGAGTGCATCAGGAAGTAGTCATCGTTCGGTTTCTGTTCTGCAGCAGGTCATCTGTAGGAACAAACTCATTGTTTGTTGATTCTGAGCCTCTTCTCTTTAAATTATTTATTTCTGTGGAAAAAAAGAACATAATGAGGAAAAGTCACTTCCCCATTACATATCTTTGTGAAACATCACCAAGGCTGGGCAGAGAAAAGCTTAAAAGGTCACTTTTTATTCTGCTAGGGATGGAGACCTTCAGGGCATGAAACCTTTTATATGCTACCCTAGCAAGATCTTGTTCCTGGTGATTCCTTGCTAAAGAGGTTAACAAGTCAGTTGCAAGAATGCCAGATTTTCTGAATAGGAATTCTAAGAGGAACTGAACACATTTGACCCAACACATGAGGTAGTAAATTAAATGTTGACACCCAAAGCAGATTTATGATTCCCTGCTCTCTGTGGCTTACCATTCTACTGTGGTCACTACTTCCTGAATCTTGTCCACTTCTTTTAACGTGCTTGCTGTTGTCAGTTCTGTCACAATCTCAAAAACGTCAGCTTCCGATGCATAGGAGTCTGGGTCGTATTCATAGGAGTAGTATGACAGATCTGTCTGTAGCGGAGGGCCTTCCTCTGCTGGAAAGGAAACCAGTCTCAGGTTGTGTCACATTATGTTGTTCACTCCAGTCTATACTAAGACACTGTCAGGTCACTCGCATAGCGCATATCTCACTCGAAACAGGCTGCAATTGCTCACTGTCCAGAGGACAAGACTGCAAGATAACTTCTAGGAATATCAATAGGTCCATGTTTTCTAAACTGTTCCTCGAACCAGCTCAGCTGTCTGTCTTTCCTGTTTGCCTTCTGTATACACTGCTCTAATCCAAACCGAAGCAATCACTGAAGCATAGTTGTTGTAGGGAGGAAAAGTCCCCCTTCCCCTCCCTGGCAAAGTTGACTTTATTTAAGAAGAACACTCATCAAGTGTTTGAAAAAGTGTTTGTTCTCTAGAAATAAAATATCTGAAGGCTCTTCCCTAATGCCTCTCACATCCTCCCAGCAACAGCCTCAGCCCAAGGCAAGGGAATGCTCGCCTAAAAGCAGAGTCGGTCTCTGTGTTCACTTCCTCTTGGCCTTCTCCATGTGAGAACCTGCCAGATAATGAGCTCTTTCCATGAATGGATGATTGCTGTCCACCAGGGACAGAATTAACATCACAGAGCTTGCTCTGCCCAGGAATGCAGCACTGGAGTCAAAGCAAAGATGAAAGGCCGACATTTCCTGTTGCATACAAACCACTCCCCCATCTTCAAATGTTTGTGCCTTCGCCAATGTTTGCTGAACACCGATGGGGTGAAAGGAAAAATGGCCCATTGCCAGTTCAATCAATCCCAAAAGAACAGCGATGCTGTGAATAATGCGCCTGCCAGGGAGTGTTGCGAGAGGACTCCACCTGGAAGCAGAATTCTCTCTGATGTTCCTGTTAGGAACAGTTTTAAGATCAAACCTCAGCCATTCTGCCTCAAGTTGCTGCAGCATCTGCTGCAGACTTCTGAAAGGCATTTTAAAATGCTTTGACAATAGCTAGGTGCTGCAAGAAGTGCTGCATCCTCATTTTTCAGGACCATCTACATACAATTACCACAAATAGCATAACTCAAAAGCTGTTGTTTATTCTAGCAAACTCACTGGTGTATATGGAACAACACTGCAAGCTTGCATTTGACAGGGTGAGCCCAAACACATTATGAGGTTCCCCACTGTTTCCTGGGAGGAAGCTGGTGCTCACTGTTTCCATTGCTGGGGTAACATAGACAGGAGCTAACAATGAAAGCATCGATCAAGCCAAGCTGAGCTGGCTCAAGTCATACGGCAAATACAGAAAGATTTCAGACAATATAAACACCACGTGCGTCTTCAAGACAATGGTATTTCCTGAAGGTTAACACACTGAGGCAGTTTCACCAACCTGCCCTAAGCTTGATTTGGCTCCTGGAGTTTTGCATCCTTTTAGGAAATCTCAGATTTAGACATGGCTCATCAGAACTTCCACTGGAAACCCAGAGCACCTGAGCCGACTTAAACCAATCACATGCTTCAATGCTAACAAAGCAGTGAGTCCAAATGAAACTCGTGTATAAGGAAGGATTCATTCATTTGTTAAACTTTGATTCATGTACCATGTGGTTGACCTGAGAGGAGCCCAGAGGATTAATGAAAATCACATGCTGGGTGCTTTTCCTGATGCAGGATTTAGTCAGTTTTATTTCTGAATGCTCAGACAGCTCAGTTCAGAAGAGTATCTGCCTTCCAGGAGACTCTCAACTCGAATGCTCACAGATCGCAGAACAAAGCCAGCTCTAAATGCTTGTGCTTTGACAAACATATCCTTATGGCATACAGGTTTGCTAATCTAACATCTGTATAAAAATGCACACACACACAAAACAAATCATGGTTTCCACTTTCATTCTTATTGATAGCCTACTGAGCCAACATTGTTTTTGACTGTTTAGAACAGAAACCAGAGGGTCATTTTCCTTAGATACTTTAATGCAGATTATTTCAAAAAGGCTGTTCCGAAAATTTCTGGATTGCAGATTACCATCAAGTTCCACAACCTTTTTTCCCAGGTAACCATACTTTTACTAACAAATATTTGTTTGAAAAGAATGTAATTGCAGTCCCATCTTATAGATCAGCAGTAAAACATTTAGTATAGCCTTGCATACCAGCAGTGCCCTACAGAGCAGTTTGGGAATGCTGCTTTAAAGGGTTCAGATTGCAAACAGAGTTTCCATGCTGAGTACATAGCATTTGCACAGAATTAAAGGCAACAAGCACTAATCTCAGTTATTCTAACAGACAG